CTGATAGGGGTTGACTGGGTCCAGGGTCAACACTGGGGTCCAATGGCCAAAAAGAGAGAAATGTCTAAATGTATTGTTTATCCTTTTTTAAGACTGAGAAAAATAGTTCCTAGGTAAAGTCCGTTTTTTTTATTTATGAATGTAGATCAATTAATAATTTGAAAGACGTATCAGATAGTTATCTCTTTTAAACATTTGTAAACAGCTTTGTTGCTCTCTCCGTTACGTATTTGCGTAAGGTTGGTTATTTTTAAGAGGAAAACTATTTTGGGGATAATATTTATACCCTCTATATCATTATAACAATCGTAAAAAATCTTAATTAAAAAAATATATTTTTGACTTTAGTACCAAAATTCTAAAATGTCACAAACTTACCAGCAAATAAAAAAATTGACTGTACATGCAGTCTAAAAACTCCAAAAAAATGTTTTATGCACATTTCTGAGTTTTTACCAGTGTTTTAGTACTTTTTTTAAGTCTCTTGGATCCCTAGAAGTGTATCTGGTTTAATTTTGCAGGTTCCTTAATTTGTTCGATTATTGTCAAAATCTTTGGTGATTTTGTTTTTAAATATTCAAAAAATTCATAAATTTTTAAACTCGAGCTAATAAGGTTTTAATCACTTTTTATGTCTTTAAGACATTTTTAGGAATGTATAAAACGTTATATTCATTAGTTTTAAAATTATTTTTTTAAATTTCTGTTGAGATTTTGGTCGATTTTTGGTACCCATAGCAGTCTATTGCCAATAACTCTGGAATTATTGGTGTTAGCCTCTTGTATTTAAGTTTGTTAGAAAGCAAATTTAATTTTCTATCATTTTTATACCATGTATATCATCATAACAATCGTAATTCAAGCACTATAAACATCCTAATTTTAATTTTTGACTTAAGTACCAAAATTCCAAAATGTCATAAGCTGTCAAATGTCAAAAACAAACAAAGATCTTGTCGTCTTCTTGATTCATACTACCCCCTCCAGCAAATAAAAAAAAGATTGTACATGCAATCTAAAAACTCCAAAAAATTATCCAAAAAAAATGTTTTATACACATTTTTGAGTCTTCGACAGTGTTTTGTGTTTTTGTACTTCTATCATATTTATACCCTCATCAAAACAATTGTAATTCAAGCCTTGTAAAAATCCTAATTTTAATTTTTGACTTTAGTACTAAAATTCCAAAATGTCAGAAGCTGTCAAATGTCAAAAACAAACGGAGGTTTTGTCGTGTTCTTGATTTACACTACCCCTACCAGCAAATAAAAAAATAGATTGTACATATAATCTAACATCTCCAAAAAATAGTTTTCTTAAAAAAAGTGTTTTGCACATTTCTGAGTTTTTGACAGTGTTTTTGTACTTTTTTAAATCTCTTGGACCTCGTGAAGTGCATCTGATTTAATTTTGAAGTTTATAATTTTTCCGATTATTGTCAAAATTTTCGGCGATTTTGTCAAAAATTCAAAAAATTCGTAAATTTTTAAACTCGGTCCAATAACGTTTTATGCACTTTTTTAAGTCTTCAAAACCTTTACAAATGTAAAAAACGTTATATTGATTAATTTAAAAATTTAATTTTTTTAAATTTTTGTCGAGATTTTGGTCAATTTTTGACTCGCGGAGCGGTCTATTGCCAATAACTCCGGACTTATTGGCGACAACCTCTTATGTTTGGTACCATTGGAAAGAAACTTTAATTTTCTATCATATACAAAAAAGATCAGTGTTCTACGATAAATAGTAACCAAGAAAATTGCTGATAAAATGAAAAATATTCAAAATATAAATTTGACTATAACTATTACGAATTTTCTAGTTTTTTCGATGACAATCGATTCTTCAAAACATTTTACATATGCCTACGTCAAAAAAATATATTTTTTTAAAAATTTGATTGCCCATTTTTACCACACCAACCAAAAAAATCTAATTGGTTGTGCGTGTTTTTTGTTTACTTTATTGGCAAAATGTGAAGCAAAACTTTGAGTAAACTCCAGTTAATGTATTTAGATAATGATGGCACTGCAAAGTTCTTTCCAAAACTTGATAAAACGGTGTCGTCTCAGATTACAATAATTTACTTAAATGCCTTCCCTTGGCGTCGCATTATTCCAGAAGTTTTGTTCTATGTCATGTGTAATTTTATTAGGTTAAGTACTTACCATTGTTGAAAATTTCCTGTTTCTTTGAAAGAATAAAAAGTTGAATCAAGTCCGCTTTTTATTTGCCTTGCCTGCCTGACAAGTTTCGCGTTTTAAAAATACCAACAAAACAAAGTTTCAAGAATCTAGTTAAAACAGAGTTAAGTATGTTTGTTGTATTTATGAACAGGGTGCTGCATTTTGAATGTCCGAATAGGGAATCTCCGAAACTAAGAGGTTTAGCCAAAAACGAGTGATACATTCTGGGCTCATTTTTTGAGAAAGTAATATTGGTTAAAACCGCATCTCGCTATCGTCTTTTGTTTTCGACTTATAGACAAAAATTCGTATCTTTGCAATTATAGAAGATACAGATTTGAAACAAAAACATTATACAGGCAGTTATTGGTTTAGCCGCAATAAGATAAACTTGTATTTTTTTAAATGGAAATCATAGACGGTTATGGCAATTTTGAAAAGCTTATTTTTTCTGATTTAAGAAATATATATTTGTAACAGAATATTTTTTTATAATTATACTTAAAAAATGAAATACATATTTTGTTTGATAATAGTTGGCCATGGAAAAACTATTTAACTCCAAATGTGTAAATAATAATCAATAAAAGTTATGTGAACTGTAAAATAGATGAAAAAATAGATAAAATTACAAAAATTTTAAAAATACGATACGATAGAAGTATTGAACAAATATGCGAGCGCCTCAGAACAAAATTATTACGTATTTTTAAAAAAATCCAAAAATAGAAAAATAAATGTGTCAACAGTCAACACAATTAGAAAAAACATTTTTTTGATGGTCTAATGAAGGTAGGATAACGTTCCACATTGACGGAATTTGGGTATTGAATAGCCATATCGTCATTTTTGTGTCATATAAAATATATTTTATTGAAGAATTAAAGCGGCTTTTTTTACAACACTCTATGTCTCACTAGAAGTTGCAAAGGTAATGTTAGCTTGTTTAAAAACAAAGAAATGTTATTAGTCGCCAATAAGTTGATTTACGATTTATTTTGCATTTTTTTCATTAGTTAGTACTTAGAAAACTCTTTCATTAGTAACACGTTGAATACTATAGTTTAGATCCTTTTAGTTGAAGATGAAACATTTTTTCATGGCCAACTGCGAACAAAAATCAAAAATAATTTTTTGCTTAAAATGTATTATAATAATTTGTTACAAATATATATTTTTTAGATAAGAAAAAAACAAGCTTTTTAAAAATGACATAGCCATCTATGATTCCCATTTAAAAAAATACAAGTTTATTTTATTACGGCTTAACAAACAACTGAAAAAAAATATTAACTACATTATTAAATTCTACGTAAAAAAGAGCCTGTATAATGTCTTTATTTCAAATCTGTGTCTTCTATAATAACGAAGATATGAATTTTTTTATATTTTGCTAAAATGTCAATTTTTGTCTATAAGTCGAAAATAAAAGACGATAGCGGGATGCGGTTTTAACCAATATTATTTTCTCAAAAAATGAGCCCCAGAATGTATTACTCGTTTTGGGCTAAATCTTTTAGTTTCGGAGATTCCCTATTCAGACATCCAAAATGCAGCACCCTGTACACTGGCCTCCAAAATTAACCCAACAACTAAAATTTTCCGATTTTTCATATTACAATATTTTTGTTATTTTTTGGCGGATTTCGAAAAAATTTTGTTTTGCTTAAAAAAAATTTTTGTAGATCATTGTAACATTTCTAGTTTTGTCTTCTAAATGTGATACTCAAAAGACGAAGGCACTGTTTTTTTATTTATTTTTATACTGAGCTGTGGTGTGTGACAGAGACAAACTTAAGTTTTTACTGAATTCAGATTATTACCCATTCTTTCCTGAATTATGTATCACATTTTTTATAATTTTAATTCTTGAGATATGAGAGATATAAATCTTTAAAAAAGCATCAAAAACGTCAAAATAGGCGCATGAAAGCTTCCAATAATTAATCGTTTTACTTGTTGTAATCCTTTGAAGTTCCTTGAAGTTTTTCAGATTTTTTGTGTTCAAAGACGTAATTGTGCTCTTTGGTGACATAAGCAATAATTTTTGGTTAAACTATCTTTTTATGTAGCCTACTTTTTGAACAAATATTTGGTAACTTTAAAAAAGCAGCGATTTTTTCAATGCTTTGTATTTTTGGGGCACCAGAAGATAAAATTTTGAAACAAATTTGTCCTCATTTAAAAAAAATGAAATAAGTAAAAACTTAATTTTGTCTGTTGCCCACTACAGCTCAGTATAAAAAAATTAAAAAAACAGAAATGTTTTGAATTAAATTACAATGTACTGCAAACAAAAATATTGCAATGTGAAAAACCGCAAAATTTTAGTTGACCCGTTAATTTTGACGGTCAGTGTAGATAAAAAAATTAACAAATTGAAATGTATTGATTTTTTTAAAGATAAAAAAACAAAACACAGATTGGCAGTATTTCTAATAATAATTCAGTTCATGACCCTCTTTGCATACTTTCCTTTTCACTCTTCACTTTCCTCAACGAAAATATTTTGCTTTGCGTTTTTGTCGAAATTCCGTTTCCGGAAAGTGTGGCGCAATGAACGCAATCAGGTGGTCGTGCACCAAATCCAGCAGCAGTAGCAAGCAGCGGCGTGGCGCACGTGTCCCCCCAGGGTGGTGCACGCGCCCCATAGCCACGTGTTGGAGTACGTCTAAGCCGGTGTCGGGCGCACCCCTCGGAAGCGGCGTACTCCGCAATCGATGCGCGGCCTCGGGGTGGGAATCACCCCCACTCCCTCCTCCTCTATATATAAAGCCGCGGAGGGTTAGGGCGCGCTCAAAGCCACGAGGGGTCTGTTTAGTTTAGTTCTGTTGTGTTCGCTCTTTCGGTGTCTGTGCTCTGCCTGTCTTCTCTCCTCTCTGTCCTATCGTTCTTCCGTTGATGATGTCGTCGTCTTCGGGGTGGTGCAAGTGCGCGAGTGCGCCCCTCTAGGGATGAAGAGGGCTCGACGACTCCGCCGACTAGTCACGCGATAGCGCCATGCCGCGCTGTCTCATGGCCAAAAAGTGGAAAGCGTATCCGTGGCCGGAGCGCCCGGACCCTCCCGACCAGGAGGAGGACGAGGAGATCGACGTCGTCGGCGACGCACCCGCCTGCTGGGGGCCCTCCAGTCCCACGGCCGGCGCCACGGCGCCCAGTCCGCCGCCGACGTCTCCCAACGGAACCACGCTCATCTACAACGGTACAACACAAAACATTAAGGAAACTAAAAATAAGAAGTTGTTGTTGACAAGAAATTGCATAATACACACAATATTACTACTTACTATAAGAAATAAAAGTCTTTATTTTGGGCAGTAGAAATAAAAAAATTTTTGAATGTTGTTGTTTGAAAATGATATAAAAAATGACAAAAACAAACTTTTTTTTTAATTGTCAGTGAAAGTGAAAAAAATTGTCTGTAAAGTAATTCAAGATGGTCCGTAAAGATATTGCATAATACATACAGTACATACACTTAGGGTACTAAATTTCTTACTATAAGAAATAAAAGTCTTTATTTTGGGTAGTAAAAATAAAAAATTATTTTAAATGTTGTTGTTTTAAAATAATATAAAAAATGACAAAAACAAACTTTTTTTTGAAATTATCAGTGAAAGTTCGAAAAATAATCTGGAAAGTAGTTCAAGCTGGTCCGTAAAGAAGTACTTTTACGGACTTATATGTCATCGATCATTAAGATTTGCAACATAACCTTCTTTACTTTTATTTCAATGTAAATTAAATAAGTGTGAGTGGTAGTACTACATTTGTTGCATGTTACGAGTATTTCAAATTTTACAAAAATGTGATTTTAGAGAAAACATAATGTACACCTCACCAATGAAGTTATTTTTCTATATTCATCAACAATTTAAGTTTACGCTAATTATGACAACGAAAAGCTTGTTAGTTTTCTAAAAAACTGGCTTAAATTTGCTTTGGGATAAAAAACGAAAGATCAGACTCAACCTTTATATTCAGCCACTCGTCTTTTTCCGTGGACTTTTGACATTTTCTGGATTTAAAGTTAGATCGACTTGCCGCGAGACCGATTTGAGAATTTATTCAACAGGTAATAGAATATTTTTACAGTCTGCGTCCGAGTTCGATCTCTCTAAAAATAGAAATGTTTCCAATGATCAATTTTCAGATATAGGTTGCTAAATGCGTTACAATTTTAAATCCCATTTATTTTTACGGTTTCCATTCTCACCGTTCTATTAAAGAGAGAATACTTCTACATCAAATCTCTTGATTCATTTAATATACAGGGTGTCCGAGCGAGTTGAAAAAGTCCACTAAATAATAAAATTATAAACAATATATATAGAACATTGATAAATACTAATCTAGTCTGATGCCTAAAATTATTTTCAACTATACAGCATGTCTCAAAATAAGTTACAATAGAAACTTGTGTTTTTTTTAAATGAAACACCATCTGTTTCTTAGCGTTTTTGGATGTAGATTTTTATGACAATGTTTTAAACAAAACTTTTATTGGTCGATTTTGGTTAGTTTTTAAAATAAGACGGTTTTTTTGACAAGAATATGCACTTTTTAAAAATTTATTACACAGAAACTAAGACATCTAGAAATATTTTTTTACTACCGCAAAGAAGAAGTTACAAGCTATAAGGTTGTAACATTTTTTTAGTGGGTTTTATTTGCAAAGAAAAAAAAATGAAGGCATTTGTTAAAAGTTCAATAACTTATAAAATTTAAATGGAACACCCTATTTATTGTTTTTGCATTTAAAAGATTATTAAATTGTTTTTCTAAAATTATTTACTTTTAGGTGTTTATAATCTATAACTAAAAAGATATTTAACGTTAAACATTAAAACAAAAATTACTATTGTTTCAGTAGCCAAAAACTGCACAGTTGCACTTAATAATCACATTTCTTTTAAACTGAATTCATTATTCTTTATTTTTACAATAAAATAATTTGAATTTCAGTATTTATAACGACTTTTACAATCTCTAGATAAATCAACGCATAAGTGATACGTGGTGGAGTTACTAAAGTTGCATTGTTGCTACAATTAATATTGAATGTTAAATAATCTTTTTATTTATCAAGTGTGGACATTAAAAGTTTATTTTTTTAGATATACAATTTATCAATCTATTAGATGCAAAATTAATAAATAGGACGTTCTATTTAAATTTTTTAAGTTATTTAACTTTTAACAACCTTCTTACTATATTAAAAAAATATTTTTACTCGACTATTGTAATTTTAGAATGTGTATACAGGATGTGTCAAAGAAAAATTTCAAGTAAGATAAGATACCAGGAATATGGAAAAAATGTTGACAATGTAAAATAATTAGAGCTTATAATTTTGTCTGCTGTTTTACATTTTATGTACTTTTTTTAATTCAACAAAAATTAGCATTTTAGAAAAAATTGAACAATTTTCAACAGATCTACTGATTTCCATGTAAGTCTGGTGATTCGTAAAAATTATAATTTTGATTTTTGGCAATGAAAAAAATTTTCAAAAATAAATGATGTTATTGTTGCAACTTTTTAGAACATTTTTCACGTTTTTTTAAGCAGCAACGTGATTATTTCGACCAATTTTCTCAAAAAATATCGAAAAACCACCAAATTAGTAAAATAAATTTTCGTTATAAACATATCTCAAAAATTCAACAAATTGTTATTCTTTTGGTTTTTTAGTGTTTAAGCAGGTTTTTAAGATAAAGACAAAAAGTCGAGAAATTTTGTTTAAAGAGGCTAAAAATTTACAAAATCAAATCAAGATTGATAAAAAAATCTCAGTTTGTTTTCAAGATTTCACTAAGACAAACCAAAAAGGCAATAAATTAAGCTGAAATTTAGCACGTTTTTTAGCTAGAAATACAATTTTTTGCATAATTTACTTAAAAACAAACCGAAAAAGTTTAGCGTAAAAGACTACATCCAAAAATGCAAAAAAAATTAGTGTTTCATTTAAAAAAACACAAGTTTGTATGGTAGCTTATTTTTGGGACATGCTGTGTGTAATTTTACCACTTAAAGGTCACTAATGGACTTTTTCAACTCGCTGGGACACCCTATATGTGTTATATATCAAAATTTTAAATACATATTTATATTTTTTGACCTAAAATCAAAAATTTCAGTTTTGAAATTCAGCTTGAAATCTAATTTTTTTGTCAACACGAATAAAAATAAAGTACGTTTAATCGGTGAATTAATTGGTGATAGGCAGCCCCCATTAGCGTCACAAGTAGGTCACTAGGGCGCCCCAGCTTAGCCAATATCAAAGTAATCATATCAAGTTTCCCGCGAACGGAAGCCGTGTTTTCAGGCTGAAAGTTGTAGCTTTAGAAAATTGGCTGATTGAAATGAAGCAGAATTTGCATCGAGAATCTAATCATTTTAATTCACTTTGATAATGAACTCGTTAGGGCCGGATCCTAGACAGAGGCGCCGCTAACGAGAAAATTCGTCTTATTACTTCTTGTCTTCTTTTATTAAATCAGCGGGAGTTTCGTGTTTTTCCGCGGTCAAAACCAGGGCCGTAACCAGGATTTTATTTCGGGGGGGGGGTTTCTTGTTGGTCCATGAAAATGAAATGAAAGAAGGCGGATTAAAAAGCAAAAATCTCTAAGTACACGTTTTTATTTTAAATTGAAATAAGAGATCCTAATTAAACATAAAAAAATACAAATTAACTCACAAAAGTAACAAAAAATAAAATAAATTTTTAATACTTTTTATTGTTACAAATTTAAACAGGAGATAGAATATTCATTTTTAAAAGAAAAATTTTCTATGAACATATATCGAAAAATGCTACGCAAGGGGTGCGTCTTTTAACAGTTTTCTTTCAATATTTCCGAAATCATTTTAGAAAAAAATTTCAAAATTAGGTAACTTTTATACACCTAAACAAGTACAAAAATAAAATGTTGAAATTTTTAATTAGGGGCTTCCTAAACTAGATGGGATTAGGGTAAAAATTTACTCTAACTATTTTGC